AATAAAAGGTAAAGTTAGAATCAATGATAAAGATTATCGCTTAAGCTCTGTGGAAAGTTCTGCGCTGTACATACGTGTACGCACTTACCATCCAGAGGACGTTCTTCACCATGTCCTTTATAACTGAAAACGTCACAGCATTCGTCCAATAACAAGGAAGTACTTTTATACCTGAAATTTCGCCGTGGCTCGGGCCTTCTGCTTGGAGGTGCAGTCATTTTAGGGAAACCTATCCCTTAGCTGAGGTAGCTGGCGTGTGTTTACAAAATGCTGGTACTGGACTTGGTTTGAAACTCCTTTCACGATGCGCAGTCGTTCAGCAACTTTACAAGAGACGATAGAAAGGGGGAAGCTGACTCTTCCCTTCTTGCCGTCGGGCGTGTCTCTTCCACCTGGTCGCCGTCTCACACGTTGGAGTCTGTCATCTAGACTGGCTCGGGAAGCAGACCTGTAATAATGATATACGTTAATTTAGGCGTTACTTTATGAGAACTGATCAGGTGTCCGTAAAAGATCAAAACTATAAAATCGGAAGTTCAGATAAAAAGGAAAGAATGTATTTTTTATTTAATATTTTCCGATTTATTATATTGGATATAGAATAATGAATTCTGAATGAAAAATAATGACGAATACCTCCTTCCAGTCCTCAGCAGTACAGTTTCTTACTCATTATTGCAGACATGAATTTCAGAACCACAACTGGCCAACATTCATAGAATCTTGCATAATCCTGCATCATTACGCATTCTTTGCAGTGTTCTTGTACTGCCCTCCACCCCATAATTTTGCCATTCAACTGGAAGTTCCACTAATGATGGAGATCGTGGTTTCTTTCATAATGCAGCAAGGCCCCTGATTTCGGTGTGAGAAATTTAAATACAACACGAATTAAATAACACAAGTGAACAACCGACACTAGGATACACTCACTATGGAACTAGTCAATAAAATAAAGATCCTAAAGCCTTTTGGATGAAGTACAGAATACTAGAAGAATTTAACAGACAGGCAATGACATACATATGCAACACCATTAGACAAAAGACACAACAGAAGGGACGGAAGCTGTCTACAGGAATTCTGGCAAGAAACTCCCAAATCTCCCTTGTTGAGAACGCAACCGTCGAACCAGGCACAGGTACAATCTCTACATCTGCAGCATCTAATTCTCCCATCACAATCACACTCAGTGGTCCTAGGATAACATGGCGCGTGGTTATTATGTAGAGACAAAATGTACCTCACCACAACATGCAAGGAATTTTGTATTTTGGTGTAATGTCGAGTTGTTTTGCACGTTGCATTTCTCTTTTGACTGACTAAATTTAGGACGGTGTCGAAATTATGACGTACAAGAATTACTATGCTGAGTCTATAGTGAGTTTCAAAGTTGATGAAAAAAAAATATATATCAGAACTTTAGGAATTTGTATAACTATTTTTGTTTCTGTAAAATGCATTTGGCAAGTGCGATTTCATTACCCACTGGGGATGACCATTGCTTTTGCCATTTCTTCCAGATATTGACAATCTGCAATTATATGCGTCTAACCTTACAATCTTGTTCACGAGCTGGTACTTTTGTTCTGTGGGATACGCCTTCCAGCTGCTTGGTGCTAGTGATTGAGGGCCAATTTGCATTGACCCTTTTGCTATTTTGCAGCGAGTAATGACAGCTCATTATGCCATCCTTCCAAAGCATTTATTATTTGTATCAGTTCATCCTTCACTCGCTCATACATTTTCAAGCCTGATATTGAGACTTGCCTGGAATTTCTGCGTCAACATGAATCAACTGGTCAACTTGCATTTCTAGAGAGTAGTCGGCAAACCCCAGAAGCCCATCTTCCTTGGGAATTTTGTCCGCCAGCAAAAGTCTCATATAATGATGGAGCAAATGCCTGAGTCAATTATATCCTGCAGCGTGAAGGCACTATCTTCTTAACATTGTTCACACAAAGGGACTACGGGTACAATCTCCCTTGCTTACGAGATCATTATCAGTCTTACAGACAAACACCAGAGTAAATGTTTACTAAGGGACGTCACCAAGGCCTTCGGTCTGACGGTTTCATATTAAAAATAGCACAACTAGAAACTTCTCTTACGCTTCACACGCCAACCTGAGCAACTTTTTAGGTAACACAAATGCCAGCATTCGTCCGTGCTTTTACCAATCCCACTGTCCACCCCAGAAATGTAGTTCCACAGAGAAGTGTTCTGGTGCCCTTTCTTTAAATCCTGCAGACTGTCAACCTGGCAAACCTAAAAGCAAAATCACATTGCATATGCAGACAACATAAACACAAATCAAACCACAGCTATCTAAATCGAAATGCATGGAAACGGCCTCAAATACCGTAAACACACACACAACCAAACGGAAAGTACAGACGAGCACGAACAAAGGCACAATCATACCAGCTGCAAGACTTGACCCACCTCCAACCACAGTAAACGACACACATAAAGAACAGGTAACCGCAGGAAACATGTT